AATTGCATCACAACTAATGCTTTGGTCAACTGCCCACTTCAAAACAGCGTTAGAATTACGGCGCCTTTGAGTTGGATCGGCCGCGCCGCTTCATCCATATTCATCCAGCGATCCAGCTCTCGGACTTGAACCCTACCCTACAGCGGCTGAGGTAAACTGCGCCAATTTGATGCTGGGGTAAACGGTATACTGAACTTCATAATGAGGCTTAAATTTTTTTGTCTAAATTCTTAAATGTATTTACTATGAAACATTGCCGTCAATCTTAATTGTCCTGAAAGTCTTAACTTTTCTCGTTGAAATTTTCTTACATTTTTTAGTGAGAACGTCTCGTTTTTCCTAGATACCTCTACTCAGCAACTGACTCTACTTTTTAACAGACTTCATTACAATAAAAATCCGAGAGCTTCACGCTCAGTGTATTATGAATAGGGTTATGCTTGATCTTACTTCTTGTTGTAGACGAACACTCTTGTCAATATTTCTCATAAATGATATTAGGGCACAAAGTATGAGAACTGTTGACGACTTGTCCTTTAAGGTTTCACCATTTCTTAGCTACCTTCCTATACCTAGTATACCCATTAACAACACTGATAAAAAAAGAATTGGTTTTAGTATTGCCATTCAACCAATCATTCAACCGATTGCCTTTGTGTTGTGTGTTAAAACAAATATTCTAAACCACAAAGCCTTTGTCACTTTTAAATAAACAAATCCTGAACTCGTCACTACGTAAAAAGTACAATATTTTTCTATGAAATCTAAAATTAAAAATACCTCCCTCAAACGGATAGATTGTACCGAATTCAAATAAGTAAAATCGTCGTACTTTGCTTAAAATTCCCCTCTACTTTCCTGGAATAATAAAAGCATCTAACGTAGATTGTCACCCAATCGAAAGCGCCTTCGATTCCACGTAGTCTTTGCCCATTTTATTTGTCTTTGACAACATTAACTTCATTGGATTCCCTGCATTTTATACAATTTCATTCCATTTGACATTTGCTATTAATGCTGATTTTTAAGAGGAAATGCAAAATTGTGGCAGGTTGAAAGAGAGCCAGAGTTAGGTAGGTAAATCGCGTCGAGATTTTACTGTGTAAAGCTTAAAGCTTTTCATAAAGCTTTATTTCAATTAAGAGTTAAGCATTTTTTTTAAATATAACATAGCTCTTCAACCATCGACAAGAAGTTGTCTCTTAATGTAGGTAATGTTTATGAAAAATATGTAAATAAGCCTCAAAAACCGACGAATTTGAGTCGAACAAATACGTCAGGTATTTACGAATATTTGGAGCGTATTTTTCTCAGATCGTTGGCATCGTGTCCATTTGTATCTGGAGCGATTGCTCGCGGGTGGGAAATTGTAAGCGTTTACATAACATTCTGTAGACAAACGAAAATTTAGGTTATTGGAACGAAACATACTTTCGGTTGTCAAATCGTTCGTAATCAGTCTTCACTAAGCGTCATACTTCTGCCATTTGCTAAGGATTTGCATGTAAATCTTGAAGCACGTAAAACTGATTTCTTCCCCACACTTTAAATACTATTTAAGGGCGGGAAAATTTGTTTTTTATAATAACTAAGTAAGAAACATCTACAATTTCGTATCCTATTTGAAAAACTAAGTGCGTTTAAGCACGGGTTTATTTAGTCAACTCGACAATTTAGTTTCCCACAGGAAATCCTTGGGGGAGGCCTTTGTCCAGCAGTGGACGTCTTTCGGCTGAAACGAACGAAACAACAGAGTGGTTTCTAAATATAGCGGTAATAACGAAAGTAGCTTTCAGGAGGCCGTTTGCAGAGCTGAAATAATCAAGTTGTGTGATTACACACTCAGTTAAAGTACCATGAGCGTGGAAGTTGAAAATACCCTCCTGAAGGCCTCCCTTTAATGTTTCATTTGATTGGAGGACAACAAGGATCGTGTATCCACAACCTACAAAGCGAATGAAACCACTTTGCAGGTTGCAAACGTTGTGCATTTTGCTTGCACTTGTGCGTGCCATGGCAAATGTTATTATGCCTATGCCTTGCTTTTTTTTTATGTGATAGCAGGCAAACGAGCAGACGGATCACCTGATGGTAAGTGATTACCGTCGCCCATAGACACCCGCAGACCCAGGGGCGTTACAGGTGCGTTGCCGGCTTTAAGGTAAAGATACGCTCTCCTCTTGAAAGCTTGCAGGTCGTATCCGTCCGGAAACACCGCAGACGACAGTCCATTTAATCTATTCTTATATCAGAATAAGGGCTACGAAAAAAGAATATCCAGGGTATATCTTTGCTACCGTTGCAAAAAATCGTTGGTATTTCTAACTTGGTTTGTATCTGACCTAAATCTCGCCAGAAAGCGATGACAAGATGAGGCACGTTTACCTGTTCAGTAAATACTTAAGAAAGATCCCATGCTTACAGGATTGCGGGTAAAAAGCATTGTTACCTTTTTTATGCATAAACATGCAAACCTAAAGTCGTTTGTTACATTTTTGAGTGAGTACGAAAATAAGCATTGACCTATTTTGATTCAAATTCAAATTGTTTATTAAGATAAGATTGCATAGTAAGTCGTTACGGTACATGTTCGCTTCACTGGATGTTAGTTGTGAAGAGATGGAGACACTGTCTAAAGTCTTTCCGTACTTATTTTTAAAGTGTTTAGTGTTATTATGTTACATTGAACTAGCAGTTGCAATAATTTGTTTAAAAACTAAGGCAAATGAGTCTTATAATAAAATGAGTCATTATCTGTATTGGGTTCGCCCCCATTTAATTATGAAATACATTTATTTCAGTAAATAATTGTGGCATGTTTATTGCCGTAAATAACTTCTAAAAATAAACATCTTCTTTGTCATATTCTTCTTACAATAGCTTTGAATTTCATAAAGCAAGTTCCCTACGGTTTCCTACACGCGCCGCGAATATTCAAGTGCGCAGGATTTGGTTAATGCGTCTAACAGAATACAGCTCGTTTTCAAACGGACAAAGATTTAAGTTTTAAGTCCTCCGAGCAAGGTTCAAAATGTAAATAAAATTTCTGTGTGCAGCGAATAGTGTGTAAAACAATTCGTATACATTTTAAAGCATTTTGACTAAGAACGTAACCGCGGTTGGGAATGTAGAATTTTAATAATAACCTCGTTTCGTTTTACTTAAACAGATCAAATAAATTTTAGGTAATACAAAATCCTTATGTGTATAATTAGAAAAAAATATATAACAATTTTTTTATTTGAATTTAAGTTTTTTGGACTATGAACATTTACCAACAGAATATTTTGCAAAGAGTGGTGAAATTCCTATTTAAAATAAATATCTCTAACATAGAAACATTTTATTTCTTTTTAAACTGAATTATGTATATCAACACCATAAAGAATAATTTCATTCGTTCCATTCCATTATCCTTATGGGGTGCAGTCATTACTCATATATTTTAATAATGTTTCTCATTTATGATTCTACCACTCCACCAAATTCTCTTATTTATTTTTCATACCCTCTTCCCGGGTTGTTTCAAACAGATACCTTTATAGCGTTTTAATTCAATATTTAGCCACAGCCTAAAATACATAAGAGCATGTCAAAGCACTGACTGCACTATTGTCAACATAATTGATCCCATGAATATTCGTGTATCCGAAACTTATTGAAAACTGTGAGCATCATCACTATTCAGGCTCCGCTCCCTCCTGCATGTATGCGCAGTATAATGTACAAGCACTTAATTATCATCCCACTAGTGCTGGGACAAACTCTTATCGATAGAAAAAAAACCCATCTAAATCATGTAAAAATAAATGTTGCCATGAAAAGTTATCAGATCTCATGTAGAGTCAAACTTCTACACTGTATTTTGTGAAGTTAAGGTACACTAGGCTTGTACCCTAACTTCACAAAATGTACATCTTAGTCAAAATTATGCGGCATAGGCCGTTTTGCCACCGTCACAATGTAAGGTGAAACATGACGACGTATTACCTACCTACTCTTAAAATGAATAGTGAACTTTTCTCTTGTACCTTTAATAGTTTTGTATAGTAACGAAATAACGGAAAATTACTTTCTATAAAAATGAATTACTCACGTACTAGCAAAAAATAACTTCGATACCTTCAGCCCTTCTCGCCCCATTTGCATGTAGTGTGCAGAGCGATTTAGTTTCCAAATTCACTACTTAGCGTTAAGGAGGATTTTAATATGCATCTACTTTTTAATTTACTTACTCATTTATGCGTCTTTTTTAAGGACCATTTAAATTTATGTTTACTTAGTTAAAATAGCAAAGCGAGAAATAAATAAACTGAATCCTTCGGGGAGGCCTTTATTCAGTTGTGGACGCCATTCAACTGATGCCTGTTTCCACCATCAATCCCTAATTTTGAAGTGACCCGTATGGTAACTCATAACAGGAATTTTGTTTTCATAGGGATTGATGGTGAAAGCATGAAACGAACAAAGCGAGCAAGAAATATTTAAATAATTAGACCTGATAAGAAAGAATGAAGCTGACAAAACCTTTGATAGATAAGATTTCATAAAAAAAATCAGTAACTCGTCACTAATGAGCACTGTGCAGTTTATGAGTCAGTTAAATGTTTATTTTTCCAAAACATACAAGTACCATAACAAACTTTTTCATAACTGCTGGTTACTTTACTCGTAGCTTTTTCTATAACAAGATTTTTGCATTGCTCACGTTTATCTTTTTTGTTGCTGTCATTACATGAATTCAGAGTGTTTCTCATCATATCCGAAATAACAAACAGCTAAAAATGCTTTTAAACTGTGTTAACAAAAAACTACGTTATAGATAAAAAGCTATACGTCTCACTTTCAGACTAAAATGACACTAACTTAAACTGGCACTTCTTACATTTGAAAAGGCATGAATACATTAAGGACGAAATGGCTGAACTAGAAAGTTATTTGTGCGTGTACTTAACAAATTATTAAAAATGTGTTAGAGTTATTAGACACGCTCACAAACTGTGTTTGTGAGCGTGTCTGTACGCTCTTTTGTGATAGAAAAATGACTGCCGTCATAAAATGTAACTCGTGTAATATAGTGATCGACGAACTACTATCGTATGTGCAAAATAAAATTTCGATAGTGGATGAAGATACATTAGTGCGGATTTGTACTACGTCGTTTTCGAGTGAGGAAATTAAAAACTCGAAATCCCTGCTCTTCGAGTCCATTTCTACGGACAAAATAAAAATAAAAAGGAAGAATAAAGGCAAGGAGGGAAGAGACATTATCGACATTATAAACTTGTTTAAATCAACTGAACCTGATGTGATACCTATTTTTGTTGCTCGTCAGCTCGAAAAGTTACCGCCGATTTTGTTTGACCACCTGGACTGTACGAAACTATTGAAGGACTTGCTTAAAGTACAAAACGAATTGGATTTCATTAAATCTAATTACGTGACACAAGATCAGTTAACTAACTGTAAAGATGAACTGCTCCGAGACATGAAGAACGAGTCGTTATTGCCGATTACTGCACGGAATGTGAATATAAATCGTGGTGCATGGATCTGTGACAGTGGCCCTATGGGTCTTTCGCATCTGGATAATAGTTCATCCCTAAATAAGTCATTCGACAACAACGGTGGAAATAACTCAGATAATTGCAACGGTTTGCTAGAATACAGAGAAATGGAGGTAATCTGTAAACAACGCGAGTGTGAATCAGCTGAGCTGCGTGAACGATCGCCCGCGCTCGTGAGCGATAAGCGGCCGAGCGGCTCCGACGGCTGCCGAACTACTGATGTGACGTCACCGCGGCCAGGCAGTGAGCGAAAGCGAAAGCGAGTTGAACGCCACAGTGCGGTAACGGTCAGTGAAGCCACAGATGTTACAAACGTAAACAGTTCTGAGAATTGGCAGACGGTGTCTAAGCGTAAAAAGACTAACTACCGTTACCGTGGTACAGCGGGTATATCAAGGGATATGGAGGGCAAGTTCAAAGCAGCCGACATACAAGTTCCCATATTTATTACCAAGATACATAAAGACACTACTGAAAAAGATATACAGGAGTACATATACAGAAAAACGAAAGAAATGATAAATCTGGAAAAAATCTCCTTTAAACAGGATCGAGATCATAGTGCGTACAAGTTTTTTGTATCGGAGCATAAGTTACCGGTGTTCCTAGATAACAAATTGTGGCCGCAGGGTATCCTGTTCAGACGATTCGTGAATTTTAAGCGGAAATATGCGAATGATCGTAACTTTGTTTCGGCCTCTAATAATAATTATGAAAAATAAGTATGATGCAAATAAAATGTATAACTTGGCAAGTTTTAACTGTAAGAATGTCAAACGTTCAGTGGATGACGTAAGGCAACTGTGTCGGACATCGCAAATTATCGCCCTACAAGAGCATTGGTTGCTGCCGCATGACATCGATTTCCTGAGCTGCATTGATGACGAGTTCGCCTACACTGGTATTTCTGCAGTGGATACGACGGCGGGCATGCTGCGCGGGCGACCCTACGGAGGCGTTGCTCTATTGTGGCAGAAAAGTGTGTTCCCAAACGTGTCGATTGTGCCGTGTAATAATACAAGAATATGTGCAATTAAAATAATGTTACATCAAAAATCGATATTAGTGATGAGTGTATACATGCCAACAGACAGTGCTAAAAATTTACTGGAGTTCACTGAGTGTCTTGGAACCTTAAACGCTATTGTTGTCAGTGAAGGTATTGAATCTGTTTACATGCTCGGCGATTTTAATGCGCACCCAGGTGAGCAATTTTACTATGAATTATGTAATTTCTGTATTGACTTGGAATGGTACTGTGCAGATGTTGTGAAGTTAGGACTAACGTCTGACACTTATAGTTATGTGAGCGATATAAATGGTTGTATGAGCTGGCTGGATCACTGTGTGGTCACAAAGTCGGCACTTTCAACGGTTCATAACATATCTGTTAGGTATAGTCCGGTAGTCTCTGACCATTTCCCTTTAATAGTTCAATGTAATTTTAATGTTATTCCTCCAAAATTAATTAACTTAAATAATAATTCTAAGCTTGATAATAAAGTACAATGGGGGGTTCGAAATAAAGACCAAATTGTGCATTTCAATAGATTATGTCATGAACGGTTGAAGGAAATAGATTTTCCTACGGAATTCAGACACTGTTGTGACAATTATTGTAGAAATATAAATCATAGACGTATTATTGATAAAATGTATGTAGATATAGTAGATGCACTGTCCAGTTCTGCTTCTGATAGCTGTGTTGCAAGTCGGGCTAGAAAGAAAAAACATATTAATGGTTGGAATATGCACGTTCGGGAGGCTCACGGGAGGGCTAGGTATAAATTTCAAGTGTGGGTCCTTTGTGGCAAACCGCGAGTAGGTTGTGCTTGGGAAGAAATGCGTGAAAGTCGAAGGATATTTAAATCTCGTCTAAAGTTGTGTCAGAATAATTATGAACAAATAAAGATGGATAAACTCGCTTCACTACATTCTAAGCATGATTTTCGTAGCTTTTGGAAAACTACTAGTAAATTTAATAATAAACCTGGTTTGCCTGTGAGCGTCAGTGGATTCCATAGTCCTAAGTCTATAGCTGACCTGTTTAGGGAACAATTTACCGTCAAATCGCCCTTGGGGCCATCACAGATTATCTGTGGAGTAGGTCCTCATGGGCAGGAAATGAGTATTAGGTTCACGGCGAGAGACGTGAGGGAAACCATTAGATCTATATCGGGAGGCAAGTCACCCGGGCACGACAGTCTCAGTGTAGAACACCTCAAGTATGCTGGAGTACACCTGCCTAGAGTACTTGCCATGTTTTATTCTCTATGTATTGGACATTCATACCTACCAGCTAATATGCTGAAGACTGTGGTAGTCCCAATTGTGAAAAGCAAAACTGGTGATGTAAGTGACCATAAAAATTATAGGCCTATTTCATTGGCCACTATTATTGCAAAGGTTCTTGACGGTTTGCTTAACACACAGCTTGATAAGTACCTTAGCATCCATGATAACCAATTCGGTTTCAAATCAGGACTCTCCACAGAATCTGCTATTCTGTGTCTAAAGCAAACTGTCAGGTACTATACTGATCGATGTACGCCTATTTATGCGTGCTTTTTAGACCTTTCAAAGGCCTTTGACCTAGTTTGCTATGATATTCTGTGGCAAAAATTAAAGAATATAGCTATGCCACAAGAACTAATATACATCTTTCAGTTTTGGTATCTAAATCAGGTCAACTTTGTTCGGTGGTCAAATGTGTTTTCGGACCCGTATAGGTTGGAGTGTGGGGTGAGGCAGGGGGGGCTGACCTCTCCGAGACTTTTTAACCTGTACGTCAACGCCCTAATAGAGGAGCTTAGCAGCACGCGTATCGGATGCCACATTGATGGAGTCTGTACCAATAATATTAGCTACGCAGATGATATGGTGCTGCTGAGTGCCTCAGTTTGTGGACTGCGAAAGCTGATAGGTACATGTGAAGCGTATGCTCTTAGTCATGGTCTTTTATATAATGCTAAGAAAAGCGAGTGCATGGTCTTTCGGGTCAAAGGGAAGAGTTCTGACACCATTCCGCCCATTAAACTGAACGGTACCATGCTTAAAAGGGTCGACCAATTCAAGTACCTCGGTCATTTGGTGACCTCTGACCTGAGGGATGATGCAGATATGGAGAGGGAGCGAAGGGCGTTGTCTGTTAGAGCCAATATGATAGCGCGCAGGTTTGCTCGTTGTTCGGGGGGCGTCAAAATCGCTCTGTTTAGAGCATTTTGTACGTCTTTCTACACGAGTGCCTTGTGGGTGGCATATACGCAGAAACAGTTCAACGCCCTTCGAGTACAATATAATAATGCGTTCAGGATGCTGATGGGGCTGCCGCGGTACTGCAGCGCTTCGGGGATGTTTGCTGAGTGGCGCGTCGACTGTTTCTATACGACGCTACGGAAACGGTGCGCATCCCTAGTGCGCAGGGTCCGGGGCAGCCCCAACATCATCTTAAACGCACTCTCCGCAAGATTTGACTGTCAGTACATTAATCATTGCTCTATGATTAATGTACTGACTAACGAACAAATAGCAAAATGCATAAATTGACTTGTTTGAATTGTTTGAATTTAATTTAATGTGAATTGAAATGAAATTTAAATATTTTATTATTATTATAATTATTAACTGTAACCTTAAACCTATGACTGTGTGTTGAAATAAATGAATTATTATTATTATTATTACTAATAGTCCCGTTAGCCCCTCGTACTAAGCTAAATATGCTTGCTTGTATCTCGAGTGAGCTCACCACAATAGTCGAGCGGCGGCGTCGACCGAACCCGCGTTCCCCGGATCACGAATCGGCCAGTCCGACCCCTTCACCGTTCGGCTATCGTGGCTTCAAATTTCTCTGATCCATGTCCCTTCTCATAGTCAATTCTCCCCCATCTGGGGGTTTACACCACAAAAACGGTACTTCGCGTCGAGCTGTTAACGTTGTTTTGATAACCAGTGACTAAAGAAAAATGTTCATCTACCTACAGGGCATCGACGAGCTCCCCGAGCAAGTGTCATCGCTACTGCGGCTGGCGACGCGAGCGCCACCTATCGCGCGCGCCGCGCTCGCGTGGGGACTTTCCGCGCTTGGAGCGTTACTTATACTCCTAGCGGTCACCTGCCTCATACGGTGAGTAGTTAGTTAGGTTGTTGGTTAATAGATGACGCTAGTTCAAGTGTCTAACTGGACAATAGCACAGAATAAGTAATAGTACAGGTACAGAAGGATTACTCCGCAAGACGATTTAAATAAATGCGAGTCTTGCTACGACGCGATACAGTGGAATTCAGCTCGCACAGCACTACGTACCTACAATTTTATTCACCTACAAGTTTTGTCTCTTTCTATCGCGTGCCTCTGAACTCTTCTTACGCTGTTAGGGTTGCTGTCTAGTGAAAAAAATAATTAATCTACTTATATGTCATGAGGTACGTACCTCATGACACGTATGTATGTAAGTACGCATTCATTATGGAAAACCTTGGGAGAGGCCTTTGTCCAGCAGTGGACGTCATTTGGCTGAAACGAACGAACGCATTCTGAGCAGTAGTCATGGTAGGTTAGGTTCCTATACTATCCTAATAATTATTGATTACCTACATGGCCAACATACCTTTCAGCATCTTTGGGAAGCGAAAAAAAAGATAAATCCGGTAGATTTCTTTTCGAATTTAAACACCCGAACGCCGCACAATATTTCTTTCTCTTTATGTCCATTTTTAAATAATACTTCGATCATAGAATTATAATCATACTACAACGCACGCCAGCGTCCTGACGGGCGCGCGCGTGACACTCGACTGATATAATACCCGCCGGCGGGGCGCTTCGCTGTAGGTAATTATCGGATGTACCGCGCGGAGTGAGCCAGGCCTGACAATAGTAGGCGTTAGTGGTCGAAGTTAGTTCGAGGTTCTGATCAACAGTTTATTATTATTTGTATTGATTATATTAAATTTTGTTTGTACCTATATCAAAATTGTTTGTTTCCCTAATTTAAATAAATAAATAAATAGATGGGGTTAGTTGCTGTGGCTGGCCTAATACGGTGAGTTAGTTAGTTTGTTGGTTAATAGATGACGCTAGTTGTTTAAATGTCTGGCTAAGATGGCATCAGCAGTTGAAGATCAATATCTAGAGCGAAATCGTAAGGGATCTGTGTCTAAGTTAGACAATAGACGACGTAGTTCGAGATTCTGACAAACAGATGGCGTTAGTTAGATAGTTCATGATTTTGGTCAATGGGGTTTTCGCGATTGAAAAATCCGCCAGATGGCAATACGTAGACGCGAGGTCCAAATGCTGCATGATTGGTTATTTTTGACATGACATTGACAGATATGTCAAAATCCACCAATCATGCAGCATTTGGACCTCCCGTCCTGTCTCATCTGTGCTCCCGTCTACGTATTGCCATATGGCGGATTTTTCAATCGCGAAAACCCTCATTATAACGTTAGCGATTAAATCTCATTTGGTAAGCAAATTGTTCAGAAACAACATACGAGTAGAACTTTTTTTCGAAGTAAGCACAGACCGGTAAACTACAGAAAATAGATTTTAACTCAAATTGTTTGTCCTCAGATCATCCCACCGGCAAAGCACCCTCCGACTGGAGGGGCACGCGGTGGCCAAGCCTCCCCCGGCCAAGGCTCCTTCCAAGGACAACGGCTACGAGCTCAACAGCAGGCGGTAACGGCCCGGGGTTCCTTACACCCCGGGGTCCCATACGCCCCGCGCCAAAAACGTCTCTGGACAGGGTGACTTCACAAAAACACTGCAAAGATTAGGTCATTGTCAGGTCGTTTAGACTCCATTGCAGGAGCACGACTCTCTAATTTACCAGAGAAAATATTGGAATCATCATAAATAGTCTCCATTGCAGGAGTATAAATTTACCAGCAAACGGAGGATTTGACTCTCTGGTGGGAGAGGCCTGATGTTAAAAAAATTGGGTAATTTTTGCAAAATTATATTATGATTCTTGCATTGTGTTGAGTGTCTTAAATAAAATATTAGGCGCATAAAAGTACTAGCGGGAATCTTCAAGTGCCAAAACAGGATCGAAAGCCTTTTTGAAGTCGCTCAAACCGTTTTAGCGTTTCTAGAGACCATTTGAAACTGTCTTAAGACTTTCAACAATAGAATCTCATTGCGATAGTTGTTTATACAAATTCTTGTCCGAATCTCTTCAATTATTTGAATTTTGGATATAGGGAGAAATAATGGGCTCAGAGTAGTGCCTTGTAGGACTCCTGAGAACTGTGGCCAACTGTGTTTATAAATTGATCATCACAACATTATTATAATTATTAATTTAATTATTAATAACTGCAGAAGTCTTGAGACAGACAAAGCAAGTTAGACACATTTTATTATACATATTGTAAATTGAATACAATAAAAAAATAGGGTGAACAGCACAATTTTTTGACTGTAACATTTCTAAAGTTTTTTCTTCATCTATTTCGTGATCAGAAAATTGGTTGTTTACCGTATTTTTTATTCCTAAAAATCGGGAAAAAGTTACTTTTCGAGTGGTGATATAATTTTCATCACTAGAAGACTCACTTTTTTGTTTAATTTAATAAAAATGTAACGAATATTACGATAAATATAGGCTTTAGATTTAAGCCTCCGTTCCGGCGAATGAAAAAAAATATTAGCAAAATGATTTTTTGGCATTTTTTTTTATAATTTTATTTTTACTCTTTTTAATAGTGTACCACCTCATAATGTTGCTATTTTTATGCTTAAGTCTTACATTTGTGATAGTCCTATCATATTTTTTATTTCCATTATTGAAAATGTCAAATATAAAATATTTGAACAAATTACTATTAATTTTGTAAATTGACTTGTATAATTTTTTTTGAGAAAAATTAGGGATTTTTTTAAAATGATTATTATTATTCGTTAGTTGTGACTGTTTATTTTTAATACTGTAAATACAAATTATTTTTAATCTTTTTTCTTTGGGCTTCGGGATGCCATTACGGTTGCTGTAAGTGACGAATGTATTAAATGAAACTTATTTTTTATTTTTACCGATAGCTGCTAGTCTTACATGGGTCCGTCCTTAGGTATATTAGGATTTTAACACTTTTTTATAACTATTTTCATAGAATAAAATCTACCGAGGCGAGGTTTCTATATAATAATCTACTCTATTAACAAAATGTTGGTGGAAATGAATACATTTTCATTTGAAATTCGCTAAAATATGAAGCGAAGTGATTATATAAACAGATAAATGTGGCAAATGTCTATAAAACTATATTTTTGTAGATTTATATACCTACAATAGTGCTTTTCACAAAGTAAATCTTGTAGTTTAAAAATAAATAGGTATTTTTAAAACACTAGCGCCACTGTCAAGAACTTTTTGTGAAAAAGACTGAGCTATTTCCATAGATTAAAAATAGACAAATGTCCAAGTTCCACGGCCTGTTGTTTTTTGATATTATTCGAGGAATATGTTTTTAAAATCCAATTTTTTAATTGAATCAAGAAGATTTAAATCTGCTCTCTTGCTGTCTCTCATTTCTATTTAAAATGTTTATGTAAAATGGCAATTTACCGTATTTCTTTTTTAAAACAGCAGGCCAAAAATTTACAGTAAAATTTTGATGTATGTATGGTTTATAATAAATGAATGTATTTTAGATAATTTCTCCAATAACCGGTGCTAGGTTTGTCTTTATACTGTCTTCGCAATCCATTTCTTTGTCTTCCAAGCGCAATGTGAATAGATATAGGAATCTAGACCAATTTGAGATGGTTACAGGACTTTTGGCGGGAATATAATGGTCAATTACCCTTATTTATACCTCGACAACATTAATAACAAGTTATAATAAGGAACATGTATGATTCCATTGGAAAAAGGCTTTTTAAAATAAATTCAGAAATGCAAACACAATAATAATAAGGAAATTGTAAAATTAAACAATCGATTTACATATGACATTTCCAATATTTGAATAACATTAATTTATTTTTAAAATATTATTATATTTTATTTGTGCAATTTTAAAATGTGTTACTATAGATGACCCACGCTGAACTGTCCCACCAAACTCAATGACAGGGGGGCGCTACCATCGTTCAACTATATGGTTTCAAACATGGCAAAAATCTGAACCAGCGATCCGGTATTGACGGTGGCGCCCCTCTGTCAATGTCATCCATAGGACAGTTCAGTATTTTGGAACTATACAACGCCGCCTGAATAATTTATTTTGACAGCTGAAGACAGTAGCGCCATCTCTTGGTACGATCAATGAACTAACTAGCGCCGTCTATCGGTCGAAAGACTCACTACGTCTATTGTACATTGCGGTGATAGTACTTAAATATAATTATTGTAAACAATATCAACGAATTATTGAGATTCTTGTATATTAGTGCAGTTACTTGCTCAAATTGATAATATTGCATCACGAGTTATGTATGTGGACCATTGTTTTGTAAATGTAAATAAATAAAGGTGTAAGTTATGTATTTTTGTGTATTATTTGTTGACAGACAAAGTTGCAATCAAAACTGACAGTTGTAATAGCGAAATCGCTTCGTTCAGACTTTGTTTTGACGTATTTCACGTATTGCTTCACGTAGACAAAGTGACATTCGTCGTAGTTTCGATTTCGTTATCGCTACGCTACCTTGTTAATCTGCGTTGGTAAGTTCATAGTTATTTCGATTAGCGAATCAAAAAAAATCAGTCAGTCCTAGTAAAAATATGTGCGGGTAATCGCATATTTGCTTCGCCAACTTTATTTTACTACCGTCGTTCAGTGGTCGGAGCAAGCCTCAGTTGACCGGCGACGCTCAATGCGCACACTCGTGTCGCGCACGTTGTAGTCTATGAGTGACGTTCGAAAGACAGTGCCTTTTGCGATTGTTCGCGTGTGTAGTGAAACGTGCTCCGATTACCATCATCATCATCAGCATCAGCTCCGAGGATACTCAGGCAGTCTGCGGATTGGCTTCCGTCCGTAGCGAGCGTCGGCTTTAAGGTAGGTGATGCTCAGATTACCTGTCTCTGTATTGCGAGTACTGATCTACCTTTCATAAATTTTATATACGAACTGTATATATATTTATATATATATTTCAAATATCCAGAACCAGCGTAATAAACACAATTTTCAGTGCGAATCGCGCACAAATACCAATGTTACAATACGATCAAGTTAACTTCGCACATTACTTTTCTCTATGCTTCGCACCCGGCAGCTGTCACATCGACACTGCGGGGTTATAGATGACCCACGCTGAACTGTCCCGCCAAACTCAATGACAGGGGGGCGCTACCATCGTTCAACTATATGGTTTCCAACATGGCAAAAATCTGAATCAGCGATCCGGTATTGACGGTGGCGCCCCACTGTCAATGTCATTGACAGGACAGTCCAGCATTTTGGAACTATACTCCGAAAAACATTATTCGATTATTGTCATTCCTCTCACGCAAAGCGAGATCCAGAATGAGCGACAGTGACAGATAGACCCGAAACTACGTAAATAATAGCGTCTCGCAGTAGCCCTGCTGGTAAGGAAGGGGCGAACGCGGGTAGGTTTAGATTAGGTATTTAGCGTGGATTAGCGGGGAGCCAGTCGTGATTGCGCTGAATTTTGTCAGTATGTGTGTGTATTGGCGCGCTCACATACAAACCGCGCTCGGTGCGATTCTATGTAGATGACCTACTCATTTGTATTTACTCTGATACGAGGAAAAGTCGCATTCCAGCGTGGTGCGTAGTAAACGATCGCGTTGTATATATTTATACATTCAGGATAATAAACAATTGTACAATAGGTTGTAGATTTGTAGTTTTGGACACAGAATCGCAATCAAATATCAAATAAAATAACAATAATTTTTTTAAAGTAGTTTATTAAGCAGTGGTATTGGTTACACAAAACAAAAACTTATTAAAATAAGCTAAAGATGTAAACAACTCTACGGAGCTTTTATATTTAGTAACAAGATCAGATCTCCCATCAAAATGGCGACTCAAAAGTAGGTAAAGATCCAAAATAATGAACTGTCCTATCCGTGACATTGACAGCGGGGCGCCACCGTCAATACCGGATCTCTGGTTCCGATTTTGGACATTGGCGGAATAGTGTGCCCTCAGTGGCGAAAAAACGCAAGTTCATCGCCATAAACCAAAGAAGAAGAAGATTTTTGCCATGTTGGAAACTATATAGTTGAACGATGGTGGCGCCCCCTGTCTATGAGTTTGGTAGGACAGTTCAATTTAGGTCGTCTTTATATTAGAAAAAAATTTAAGTCATACAGCCAGCGTCAAATAGTTCGTGACACCCAAAGTAGCCAAAAAGTTCGCAACACGTCTTTGTTACAATGAGGGCTATCGTTTTAGCGCTCACCAGTTAGCGCCACTGTAGAGTTAGGTCCTGTCACTTGCTAGTAGCGAAGACAGTGGCGCCAACTTGTGAGCGCTAAAGTGGTAGGAGGACTATCGCATTTGCACTCATCAAGATGGCGCCATTGTAGAGTAAGGTCCTGTCAATCGCCAGGGGTGCCAACTGTTAAGTATAAAAACGATAGCCCTCATTGGAATAAGGTTGTGTTGTCAACTTTTTGGACACTTTGGGTGACACGAACTTTTTGAAGCTGACGTACCTACTTGAATTAAACACTTGCTTTAAAACAGTACAAATAATTATATCACTATTCTAAGTGGTGAAATCAAATAATATAACAATAGTGCATTGATTGACAAGCCTCCGAATTTATAACAATAAAGGCTTCCTTAATTGTACTCGCCCGCTGAGTTAGGTCCTGTCACTCGCTTGTGGCTAAGAAAGTGACGCCAACTGGTATAGATGAACTACAACGAACTGTCCCACCCGTGACATTGACAGGGGGCGCCACCGTCAATACCGGATCGTTGGTTCCGATTTTTGCCATGTTGGAAACTATATAGTTGAACGATGGTGACGCCCCCCTGTCAATGTGTTTGGTAGGACAGTTCACATTAAAGATTCGCTCAAATCAACGCGTGCAGCTCGCGTCGGCGATAGCGTTCAATGCGCGTGCATAGATCGCCGCGGCCAATGACAGGACGCGTTGATGTGAACTCATCGTTACAAATTCATACACGATATCTGTAGCCTTATCCACGTAACAAAACTTCAACGACAACAAAACACTGAGTTGCGATCCTATCGAATAATCGTTCTATCGAAATGACTCTTGTGAATACGGATTTAGAACTGCTTTTCAATGGGACGACTTCTGAACGTCAGCGAGATCTTGACTGTCAAAATACATGAATTAGGCCACTGATCAGGTTGCACGCGTGGTGAGGGCTGAAGCCGAAGGAGGACTGTCAATTTGGCACCTCTGTCAAGTAAGGTCCTATCACTCGCCAGTAGCGCCAACTGGTGAGAGCAATTAAGGAAACCTTCATTTCAACTTTTCTTGCACCGTTTAGCCAACAACCTTACATTAATTGACAAAAAATTATATTTGATAACTAACACTGTAGAGTAGATTAAGCAGTAAGTTAGATAACTGAGGACAGCTTTATAATAAGAAATAACTACATACTAAGTAAACAAAAAAAAATATTTAGGCGGTCGTATGATACAAAAATATAGGAATTTTACTGCACATGAAAATACACAGTTAATTAGGGAATACGCAAAGTTCTTGACAATAGAACCATACTGAACCATTAAAAAAACGGTAAAACTAAAATTTTGTATCGATACAAGTTTTGCGATCAATTTGACAAAGAAATTAACTTTTTCTTAATTAGTAAACTTATTTTTTAATACATATTATTATGTAAAAACAATAAACATTATTATATTATACTACCCACACCATTTCATATAATAACACAAAAAATAAAAACCTGGCCAGTTCGGGAGTAGAAAATGAAATATGTGAATTATACATATTTTGAACAAAAAAAAGAAACAAAAAGGTTTTTTTCTAAATAATATTACAATATGAAATTCCATCAGTTGTCAAATCATAAATTTTGTTGTTAGGTTTTCGATGTTATCGTAAAAGTATGAAATATACATTGTATAATAACTATACATAAACTTACAATTATTTATGAAAATTATGTTCTACATACAAGAAACTAAAAAAAAAGTATAAATAACTAACATAATATTAATTTTCATAATGTTCGCTAAACTATGAATTTATTAGGTGTGAATTAAATATTTTTTGACACAAATAACTTAATAACAAATAACTTTAATGCCCTAATGAAGAAACTACATCAATTGCCAATCTCTCCATTAGATAAATATATTTTAGACTTTACTATTAATAGTTATACAAGTAAATTATAAATGAAAAATAAAAAAATATACACACAAATTATGTTTTTTCAAAGCGAATTGTGTCTTTTGCTATCGCCCTATATTAATGACAGCAGAAATATTATGTAAAATAAACTTATTTTAGCTTATTATTACTTCTAAGTCTAATTATACAAGGTTACCTAGTGCCCAAATGCAATTACTTTACATTTTTTTGTTTAAAGAAGGACTTCAATTTAATTTTATATATTTCTCAGTTAATCTCGTAAATTAGGATTTTATAGTAGTTTTTTGTATATAAAATAACAAAATTTCGAAATTAGTGTACTTTATTTGTCGTAATAAAAGATTTTATATAAAACATTTTTTTTATATAATTTATATAAACTCCTTTATTGTTCAATATAATTTTAGTATAGTAAAAGTAATTTCATTTGAGAAGATTGATACCAGGAAAACCATGGTGCATTGTTATTTATACAAATATAAGTTATTTTCTATTAAAAACTACTATTCTTTTTCTACTCTCTAAAATTAGTTCACAGATCGTTTTAGTCGATTTAGTACCCGTAATTGTGGCAAATTATTCATTAATATTGGCAGTGATTGAATATTTTAAAGCCATGGCCCCATAAGCCGAACTACGTGGCTAATAATTATTGCTTTCAAACCCCCTAGACAAGTGGCAAAACGTGACAGTTGTAATGCGAAAGACCTTACTTAGCTCCAGCATTTTTGTATGGAGTTACACTAAGGGCCAGAACAGATGATAAACGCTACTGCAACTTTCTGATGATTCTGATGAATGAAACTGAAAGTTTCAAACTGGTCGCGTCATGTGTGGTCTCTCAACGGACGTAATGGCAGAAACTTAGATGCAACTCAAAAGTAACTAGCAGTTGCAGTTTAGTTGCAATTGCGTTTCACCGTGTGTTCTGGGCCTAAGATGTTTTTATCATAGCTCCGTGAACGGATTCGATTTTCGAATCGATCAAAAGGTGCCACTTGCCTACAGGAATAAATCGATTTTAAGGATTTCGATCGAATAGTCGATACTATCGATAGTCCTATGTATATTCGCCTATGGGAACACAGTCGTATACATGACATTGAAAACATTTGACTTTTTTTTCTTTGTAAGTACCTACGTATTGTAGATAGTTATATTCTTTTAGTTGCCTACTTATTTTAAACGAACTATGCTAGGGTCTGGGTGGTAAAGTCCCTAAGCGTAGTTACCTATGTATATTTTAAGTATTTTTTACTATCCCACTGATATTTTAAGTATCATGCATTTTGATCAAACCGTTCATTTGAAAACTCGTTCACAATTTAAATAGACGTCACATGTTTACATTTAGACTTCACAGACTAAAGCCGCTTGTAAACATCCGCTTTTTTGACCGGACTGCGGCTCGATTTTTTTCGCCTGATTTTGCGGTGGTGTATGGTTTATAATGAACGTGTGCACATTCATCAGACAAATGTCCGGCGAGAAAATTGACAGCAAAGGATATTCGTTTTTTGACGGTCCGGCGTCCGGTGAAAAAACGGATGTCTACAAACGGCCTAAGGCTGAATTGCAAAGCCTTACTTTAACCTTAACCGGTGTTTTTTCTATTTGAAGTTTGACAGAGTTTTGACATTGAAGAATGCAATGGTGGCAAGGTCTATATTATATAAACAGATCCAGCTATTGAAAATATCGAAATTAAGCTTCAACCACATCATAGGCCAATGACAGGTCGCACGGACTGTCATGAGTAGAGATGTAAATTGACCGAATCTGACCGGTTACGATGGTCAAATACCATAAATGACCGGTCAAAAACGGTCAAATTCAGTCAATTTGACTCAATATTACTGTACTACCACCGAATAATTTATTTATTTAGGTACCCAATTTATATGCAATTTTAAATGAAGGAGCGTTATTTTGTATTGAAATAAGAGAGAATAAGACGTCATCAAGGTTGACGTGCGCGGCGATGCGACATTGTCATTCGACTATAATGGACGTGAGCGGGACACATGAGAGCACAATAAATCATTACAAAAGACAATGTTTCAATTTAGAAGTTGTAGACTCACTGTAAAAATGTTTAACTATAATAAATCATTACAAACCACTTTTTTTATTTCGATTAGGATGTTGTAGACTTTTATCATCACAAAATCTAATAAAAACTTCAAAAAGTACTAAACTATTACTGAAATCAAATTGACCGAAATTGACCGTTTTTCACAGTTTATGACTTGTTTTTGACCAATTTGACCGTAAATGACGGTCAGTCAAATTCAGCCGCTTTAGTAATTTTCAACACTAGTCATGAGTCGCGCGACCTGTGCGTTGGTCTAGTTGAAGCATAGAGTCTGAGCTTCTAAAACAAAATATTATCTATTTAACGTAGCAGAACTTTTAACAACTTTAGTTATGGGTCCAATTGGTATATCAGATTGTATAATTATTTTTCTTTTATCCGCTCTAGCAGTAGAATTATTCTGATTTTCTTCGCTTTTAATCGCGTCTACTTCTTTTTTTATATTTGTGTCAATATTTAGTGGGTCTTTTGCCGCTTCTTTTTCGACCTTTAAACTCAAGTTAGGTTCTTTACTTTTAGATGGACTAATAACAATCGATTTAGCTGTTGTTAACGGAGAAGTTTTAGAAGTACTAGGTTTAGAATTCGAATAATCATATTTGATTAGTTTTCTCTGATCCTTCTTCGGCACTAACATCGGATTTTTCAAATCATGAACGAAATTTTTATACGTATTTATATATTCGTTAGACGCTTTAGGTTTAGAAATAACTTTGTTTTCAATAATAACAGGCTTAGCTCTTCTACCCTTACCTTTGCTTTCTTTCTTCAGTTCCCCTTTGATTCTGTTGATTTCTTTCGTCTTCTTCAATTTCTCTTTTAAATTCATTATCGTGCCGTCTCTCTCTTTCACTAGCATGGCTGGTTCTTTTAGTTTATCATCGAATTCCTTGCAGTTTATGGCAGTGCGTTTGCTAGCAATGATCATAGACAAATCACTATTGCTGAAGTCCGCTAGAAGAGTGCTGATGTCGTTTCCGGAGTAATTGTCTATGTTCGGATCAGCTCCGGCCTCGACTAAGTGGATTATGGTCTGTTTGAAGTCGTCGAACACTTTGGATTTGTTGCCGCGTTCTGTGAAAAGAATTGAGATTTTTTTGGTATATTTTCAAGAACGTTTCAAGTTATATATTATAAAAGTTGTGATTCTGTTGAAAATGTTTCAAATCGTCTGTCCAGGTTTACAAGGGAAAAATTACAGGGTACTTTCTATGAACTAAAATAATTCAGCTAGATATCACAGCACAATTTAAGAAATGCGCTGCCCGCATCCAGGCTCTTCCCGCGACCTTTACCAGATCGTCGGTCCACCTAGTAGGAGGCCTGCCCACGCTACGTCTTCCAGCCCATGGTCGCCACTCGAGAACTTTTCTGCCCCAACGGCCATCGTCTCTACGAGCTATGAGCCCCGCCCACTGCCACTTGATTTTAGCAATTCTGCGAGCTATGTCGGTTACTTTGGTTCTCCTGCGGATCTCCTCATTTCTGAGTGCATTGTGGAAAACCTTGGAGGAGGCCTTTGTCCAGCAGTGGACGTCATTTGGCTGAAACGAACGAACGATGATAGATACTCACGGGCACTATCAGTGCAAGCGGCGCTCACAGCTAGATAGAAGGCAGTTTCTCCGCTGCTGGTAGACCGGTAGTCTCCTGTGTCCGAAATGATGATGATGATGACGATGGATACTCACGGGCGCTATCAGTGCAAGCGGCGCTCACAGCAAGGTATAGTCTGGTCTGTGAGCACGTAGAATTTTGTCCCAATGAATTATATTGCTGTCGCGACTGTGCGACGGGCGCCCACAGTGAGTGTGCGAGCGCGACAGCAACATAATTACGCGCGAGCGATAAGGATGGGTAGCTAGGGGTCATTGGACAAAATTCTACGTGCTCACAGACCGGGCTTTAGAAGGCAGTTTCTCCGCTGCTTGTGGACCGGTAGTCTCCTGTGTCTGAAATGATGATGACGGATACTCACGGGCGCTATCAGTGCAAGCGGCGCTCACAGCAAGGTAGAAGGCAGTTTCTCCGCTGCTGGTGGACCGGTAGTCTATAGACGCTGGTGCGGCGGACACCAGGGCTTGGACCGAGTCGTGCTTGCCCAGTTTGCTGGCTAGCATAAGAGGAGTGTAGCCTGGGAGAGATGAAAAAATTTTTTGATCAAAAAATTGATTGATAATGATCTCAGCAAGAAGTTGCCAGAACTTGATATACATTTTCAAAGCCTCGCTGGTTTCTTAAAAACAATTAAGACGGGTGACGTGCCCCTGGTGGCATGCATCTAGGAGGCCTCTTATTATTTTATTTTTTATTTTTTTGTTGCTTTCTTTTTGTTGTTTAAATTCAAAGTTGTTAACTACTATAATTATGTTATTGTATTGTGTAAAGTTCACGGGTTGCTTACATTATAATATTATGCATGCTGTGGTTATCGTTTGTGTGGGAGCAGTTAGCTAGAGACCTTTGGCTTAATTTTTTATTTGTGTTTAATACTGTATCTCATGTTGATAGCCCAATAAAATAAATAAATAAATAAATAAATAAATTCTCAATAAAAAATGTTGGTTCAAAAAACTCTTAAGAGTAGGTGCACACCGTTGATTTTTCGTCGGCCGATAGTTTAGTCGGGCAGTTGATCAGTATGGGGATGTATGGGAGTGCGCACACTACGCCGATTCGATTTGGCCGATTCTTCATACAAATTAAAATCGGGCACAACTATCGGCCAACTAAAAATCAACGGTGTGTGCCTACTCAAAATTGAAAATAATTTTAGTGAAAAAATTCTAAATTTAAAAAATCTTGGGAAAAAAACATTAAATTATTTATTTATTTACATTGAGAATTCATACAGCAACACAGAGTGCTAAAAATATTTGGAAGTCAATTCAAGCCATTACGTATTTTGCCAACTCAATTGGTCCGAGTTGAAAATTCTTTTTGTGTTGCGTAGCCCATTTATAGAGGAAGGTTTTAGGCAATACATTTGACATGCAGTCAATAGGGGGGGTAGCAGTTAAGAAAAATGTTGCAAACACGGGAAATATTACTCAAACTATTTTCACGCGTACGTAGCCGCGGCACAGCTATCCTGTTTTCTTTATTCTTCAATATAATTGCACAACAAATAGTGCGTTGAGTGCTAAAAGTATTAACCTTCATTCGCTTCAAGATAAGCCTAATATTCTTTTATATCTTTGCTATCGCCCACGCCTCTGGACAATTCGGTGTTACGTACAGAAATATTTGGTGAACCCATAAGATATAGAGAGATGCCAACTAATGCGCTGAGTCCGAAACTCTTGTCGCATTAGAAATTCACACACACAAAGAAATCAAAATGTGTGCTCATTATCCAGTCAACAGTACTCAACGTTCGAATAATCTTTAGCACTACGCAAGCAATGTGTTCTGTTTTTGGGCATATTGCTGCGACACCGGCCACGCCCCCTTGTCACATCTCCCTTTGCTTGCGGAAGTCAACTACTGCAAGTTTTATTGCTAGTCTAAACCTCTCTTTATCGAACCAGGCACTAAGTATACTGTCAGTATTACCTTGAAGTAATGACTGCAGTAAGTAAGTAATGACTGCAGTAAGTAAGTACCTACTGACAGTGTGGTGGTGACATGGGGTTACCTCCACAATATCAAATTACAAATTATCGAAAATCAAAATATCGAACACGTTACATCGAACGATCAAAATATCGAACGTTCAAAATATCGAATTTACAAATGATTGAACGATCAAAATATCAAATGATTACAATATCGAAAATCAATATAGAGCTTTTAATGAAATGTTATATGATTAATGTAAATAAAACATATTCATATAAGTAGGTACACTTTTTTTTATTTCCCACTTTAGGATACCATAGTCAACAAGGAACTCTTACCCCCTTACTAATAAAACTTACACGCTCGGTGATCAGTGTTTTAAAGTGACGTTTAGTATAGAAATGTCATTTTAAAACAGTGATCAACAACTGTGTAACTTTTTATTAGTAAGGGGCATGTAAGGGGGTTAACCTCCATCTTCCTAATATACTATGCAATATAAGATTGACTTTGGATATTTTAATCATTCGATATTTTGATCGTTCGATATTTTATCGTTCGATGAAACGTGTTCGATATTTTGGTATTCGATCATTTGTAATTCGATATGAGGGAGGTAACCCGGTGACATGGTTTATCAAATCAAGCTTGTAGAAAGAATAAAATACGTTAAAATAAAACATACCTTATCTGACTAACATGCAGTAAGAAGAAAATAAACGTACCTTGGCTGTCGAACATGGTGCAGACTTTGTGGAGAAGATGCTTGACCTGGAAGTCCTTGGTCTTCGCAGCTACTTCAGGCTTCCACAGCTCCTCGTTGTTTCGTAGGATGGTTCTGTCGAAAGAACAACAGTCATCATCATCATCGTCATTTATGGTCAAAGACAAATATCTAATTCAATACTTAGCAGGGATGTTATGGATATCCGTAACCGTAACCGAAACCTTCGGATATCCGAAATAAAAAATTAACCGTAACCGTAACCGATTCAAAAGTTTCGGATGTAGGCAGTTTAAATTGATTTTTGTATAGCATTATATGTAAAGGCATAACAGCCTGTTTTACCTTTATGATGTCATCTAGTATTAATTTTTTTTTATTACTTTTTATTCGATGTAAAAATGTGCACTGTGCAGCAATGAATGAACCGTGACACTATTGAAAATTTAATTTTAAAGCACAGATATCCGTAACCGTAACCGAAACTTTCGGATATCCGAAATAAAAATATATCCGTAACCGTAACCGAAACCGGTATAATATTATTCCTATATCCGTAACCGTAACCGAAACCGGTATAATATTATTCCTATATCCGTAACCGTATCCATAACCGAAACTACATATCCATAACATCCCTAGTAGGTACTTAGTCCCTTTCCAGGGTGCTACACGTCTCAAAAGGCCACCCCTTAAATGGACGTTGTTTTATTTTTTATTTTATTTTATTTGGTGCACAAAACAGGGATACAACCATAACATACAAAGCGTTTAAAGCAGGTTATACAGTATAACTTGTTGCAGCTCCAATAACAAGTGCACACAACATACAAATAGAAAAATAATTATTTAATTTTAATTAATAATGAGAATAAGTTATTAATAAATATAATGAAATTTAAATCAATAATTCTCTAAGAAATAAAGATGAGAGAGGAATTATTTAAGTAACAATTCATTTACAGCTTTTTTGAATTTGTTTAGGGTAAGGCTGTAGATGTCAGGCACCTCCTCTATATCGGGTGTGAGCTTGTCTCGGCAGATTCTATGCATGGCGCTGTGAGAGGACGCGTTACTGGTACATAGTGGCACTTCGAATGTTCGGGGGACTCTGAGGGATCGTTTTGGTATTTTAATTTGGACTCGAGACAAGGTCGCTGTAGAAACCGACCCATTGAGGATCTTGAATAAGCAGAATATTCCATGAGCTTTGCGACGCGTCTCGAGGTTTACCAGTTCAAAATGATCCAGTCGATAGCTATAGGTAAGTAGTTTGCCCTTATATCTGTCACCGGAAAATAACAAGACTCGTAAGTTGATCAATTTTCTAGGAAGTTGATCAACTCTCGGAAAATAACAAACGGCAGTTGAAATGTACTATTTAACGCATCGAATTTTAGCTAATTGGTCAACTTACGGTACCTAGCCGTAATTTAATAATTAACTATATTGCTACAAGTAAAATCATCCACAAATGGGCCAATCGTTGCCCAGTGTACTATTTGACGGTACACTATTATCCGTCACTTAATACACTTTTCTCTGATTGGTCGACAGACACTTAGATTATGTTGTTTTAATATTTATTTACATTTTAGAGATAGGGATATTAAATTTCGTCTATGCTATTATAGTTAAATAAATGAAAAATGTTTAAAAAAATGTATTGGACTCAAAGTTTTATTATTGTAAGTTATATTAATAATAAGTAAGTTTGTTTATTTCTACCACTACAGACTCCATTTCACTCATCATAAATAAAATGACGCGTTATAATGAGAATTATTAGCACACAAAACAACAATTGCTAATTTTACTACTGTAAATAAAGAAAATAGATAGATTTGTTTAAGTTTAAACCGGTAATGGCGGCGGCCGGGTGGCGGGGAGCGGTATAAAAGCACGGGAGTCTTTTAACCAATCAACGTACACCTTGCCTTTGTCGGATGATTTAACGGCAAGACGCCGTAAATTAATCAACTTACTAAAATACATACGTTAAATAGTACATTTCAAATGCCGTTTATTATTTTCCGAGAGTTGATCAACTACCTAGAAAATTGATCAACTTACGAGTCTTGTTATTTTCCGGTGACATATCCATGCCTGTACGCTAATACCCTGAGAAAACGCCTCTGTATTGCCTCTATCCTATCAGTGTGCGTTTGGTACTGAGGTGACCAGATAATGGACGCATACTCAAGGCGACTCAGTAACAGAGAACGAAACAAGCAGACCGCACCCTATATTTGGTATTTCAATTAGATAACAAAAATAGCAAATATGATGTTATCAAGGTTTATGTCCAATGCTTTCAGTAAATATAATTTCCTTGGCCTTAAAACCAGGGTCGATTTTGTGGCACGCCCAAGACAGACAGGCAACTAGTCCCCCCGGACTATTGGGTATGCAATTTAATGCATTTCCTGGTGAGAAAAAATCATATCACAAAAATCACCGACCGCTACCCACAGGTATAGTCCGGTCGCTAAGCACGTAGAATTTCGTCCAATGACCCCAAGCTACCCATCCTTATCGCTCGTGTGTAATTATATTCTGTCGCGACTGTGCGACGGGCGACCGCAGTGAGTGTACGAGCGCGACAGCAACAGAAATTCTACGTGCTCGGAGACCGGGCTTTAGCAGTCCCATACTTTATGCATTGAAAGGCATAGTACCTAATTTGTATAAGAGTTGCCTCATAAGACGACCTCACAAAGGTAGCAGGAATGCGCTGGATGCAGGTCGCTACCCACCTGCCAATCTGGAAGTCATTGGGGGATGCCTATTTTTCAGCAGTCCTGTGGCTGAAATTATGATGATGCTAAGACTTAGTGTATGGCAGTGTGGGCACTGGGCAGGGCTGACGGACGATCTGGTGAAGTTAGTTGAGGGCCTCCCACTAGGTAGACTGACGATCTGATGGAGGGATCTTCCTGGGGGAGGCAGGGCGATTTACAGTGGGAGCAACCTTCTCTGCTCGCTTTGGTTATTGGTTGGGCATATTTAGGTCTAGCTATCTACCATCACCTTACCTAAGGCTATCGCTTGCTAATGCTTCTACCTTCAGCCTGATCACCTCTTAGGCTAAGAGCTTCCTAGTTGTGGAGCAGTTCCTTGGGGGAGGTCTTTATCCAGCAGTGGACACTGGACGTCCTGTGGCTGAAATGGTGATGATGCTAAGACTTAGTGTGTGGCAATGTGGGCAGTGCTCAGGGAGAATGATTTTCCTTGGGGAAGGCTTCGTCTCCTTTAATCTGAAATGATGACGATGCTAGACTCACAGCGGGTCCTCCCGGCACTTCCTGACGAGCGGCTCCACCATCTTACGGAATCTTACCTAAGGCTATCGCTAGGTGTTCCGGCAGTTGGAGATGAGATAGCCAGTTCCTCGGTGGTTGAAAATTTTGCGTGAAGTTCGCTTCCACCTTCAGCCTGATTACCTCTTAAGCTAAGAGCTTCCTCGTGATAAAAATGCAAGGAATGCTAAGACTCACAGCGGATCCTTCCGGCACCTCCTGACGAGCGGCTCCAGGTACTGTGGGTACTGGGCAGGCCTTCCAACTAGGTACACAGACGATCCGGTGAAGTTCCTTAGGGAGAGGCCTTTGTCCTACAGTGGATACTGGACGTTCTATGGCTGAAATGATGATGCTGCTAAGATTCAGTTTTTGGTGAAAGCAAACTGGCTTCATTATGGCAGAGCCAGAAAAACGCAATGTGGGCACTGGGCAGGACTAATGATTTGGTGAAGTTCCTTAGGGAGAGGCCTTTGGCCAGCAGTGGGCTTATGGCTGAAACGAACGGTGACTCACAGCGGGTCCTCCCGGCACCTCCTGACGAGCGGCTCCAGGTACTCCCCGCCGGCCTCGGCCGCCAGGTGGAAGCAGGAGCGGTATTCCTCGTCGGTCACCAGCGGGTTGGCGTTCAGCTGGGCCAGCAACGCTGTGCAGGCTGGCGACTTGGCCAGGATGGACTGTTTTACTTACCTTAATAGTCTAGGGGGCAGATATATGTACATTTTAAAGACAAAACCCTTGAAAAGGAAGCTGGAAGTGACTAAGTTTCTTGCGCTGCTTCTTCTCAGCACTGGCCCATTTATTGTCCCGAAGCAGTGGTAGGGTTAATACTGGGGCGTGTAAAAGTGCTTTTTAGGCGCTCCCCCTGGAAATCGCTTTGGATGACTTTTTTTAGGGGAAATAATGCGTTGATTCGCATACCTACCCTGCTGGGTTAGGTGAGGCTCATCAAGTCCGAAGGACGAGGCATACCCACTAAAAAGACCCCGGTGCTCCGTCCGTAGACTGACGTCTGGTGAAGGTCTGGTGCCTTTGTCCAGCATTGGATGCCCTGTGGCTGAAATTATGACAATGCTAAGACTTAATATGAGTGTGTGGCAGTGTGGGCGGGCAGGGCTGACGGAGGATCTGGTGAAGTTCCTTAGGGAGAGGCCTTTGTCTCCTTTAATCTGAAATGATGACGATGCTAAACTCACAGCGGGTCCTCCCGGCACATCCTAACCAGCGGCTCCAGGTACTCCCCGCCGGCCTCCGCGGCCAGGTGGAAGCAGGATCGGTATTCCTCGTCGGTTACCAGCGGGTTGGCGTTCAGCTGGGCCAGCAGCGCTGTGCAGGCTGGCGACTTGGCCAGGATGGACTGTTTTACTTACCTTAATAGTCTAGGGGGCAGATATATGTACATTTTAAAGACAAAACCCTTGAAAAGGAAGCTGGAAGTGACTAAGTTTCTTGCGCTGCTTCTTCTCAGCACTGGCCCATTTATTGTCCCGAAGCAGTGGTAGGGTTAATACTGGGGCGTGTAAAAGTGCTTTTTAGGCGCTCCCCCTGGAAATCGCTTTGGATGACTTTTTTTAGGGGAAATAATGCGTTGATTCGCATACCTACCCTGCTGGGTTAGGTGAGGCTCATCAAGTCCGAAGGACGAGGCATACCCACTAAAAAGACCCCGGTGCTCCGTCCGTAGACTGACGTCTGGTGAAGGTCTGGTGCCTTTGTCCAGCATTGGATGCCCTGTGGCTGAAATTATGACAATGCTAAGACTTAATATGAGTGTGTGGCAGTGTGGGCGGGCAGGGCTGACGGAGGATCTGGTGAAGTTCCTTAGGGAGAGGCCTTTGTCTCCTTTAATCTGAAATGGTGACGATGCTAAACTCACAGCGGGTCCTCCCGGCACCTCCTGACGAGCGGCTCCAGGTACTCCCCGCCGGCCTCGGCCGCCAGGTGGAAGCAGGATCGGTATTCCTCGTCGGTCACCAGCGGGTTGGCGTTCAGCTGGGCCAGTAGAGCTGTGCAGGCTGGAGACTTGGCTAAGATGGAGAGCTGGAGAGCGGTCTGGGGAAGAAAAACAAGTCTCAGTCCTAGAACACACGGTGAAACGCAACTGCAACGAAACTGCAACTTCTAGTTAGTTTTGAGTTGCATCTAAGTTTCTGCCGTAGCGAGACCACACATTGCAACGCGTTTCAAACTGGCCGCGTCATGTGTGGTCTCTCAACGGAATCTATGGCAGAAACTTAGATGCAACTCAAAAGTAACTAGAAGTTGCAGTTTCGTTGCAGTTGCGTTTTACCGTGTGTTCTGGGCCTTACGCCCGTATTCACAAATGCTTGCTTAAGTGAAGCAGCAATCCAACGCACAGAGTTGAATAGGGCTGATATTGGTTCGTGTGTCGTAAGAGGCGACTTAGGGACTACACATCAAACAGATAACGGGCAGCAGCGCTCTCTGACAAACATCAATCTTTTAAACTGCGATCTCCAACCCGCCTGCCAAGCGTGGGGATTATGGCAAAACCCTCCACTATAGTGGAGGAGGCTCATAGTCCAGCAGTGGACTGTAAAGGGCTGTTGATAATGATGATGATGACGAACGGAACCCCCATGCAAAATTTGAGACTCTAGCACTTGTAGTTTTTTTTATATCCACAACGAGGAAGCTCTTGGCCTGTATCTCACCTGATGGTAAGTGATGATCAGGCCGAACGTGGAAGCGAGCGTCACCCGGTATCCTCAACCACGGAGGAACTGGCTATCTTATCTCAAACTGCCGGAACACAACAATTCTGTTAACATTGTTGTTATGTCGACAGACTTAGGTAAGATGGTGGTAGCTAGCCGGGCGGACTTGGAACAAGCCCTACCACCAACCAAACCGAACAGAAAATTCTGCCCCCACTGGGAATTGAACCCGGGACCTCTGCGTCTGAAGCAGGTGGTCTAACCACTAGACCACAGAGGCGGTTAAGAAGTAGTTTCTGAGATTTCGTGATTAGTGAGAGTAAGGTCAGTCAGTCAGTGAACTTTCGCTTTTATTATATTTATTTTAGATTTATAGATACACGCGCATCTCGGGGATTCCTACCCAAGCGTACCTACTTAGATAAATTTGCGTTAATTGTTTGTTATTATACATACAATGATTAAAATGTGGAAGATAATTTTTAGTCTGTTGAACTTTTTATTAAAGACACGGTCTTTAAAATATTTTATTAGTATTTTATTAACCTAAACTAAACCTAATTTAAAAATAAAATAAAATACAAGGCTTATAAAAAAATCGTTTAAACCGCTGTCTTGGGGGAAGATACCCAGAAGGCTGGCCACATTGCCACGTTGGATGGCCAAGCTTTCTTCTTTCTCAATCCTTTGGTTAAGGTATAGGCCAGCCTTTGGATCGTAAGATATCTCAGCTTAATTAAGTCATCATCATTTCAGCCATAGGACGTCCACTGCTGAACATAGGCCTCCCCCAAAGCTTTCCACGTTGATCAATTAGTATCGGCCTGCGTCCAGCGCTTCCCTGCTACCTTTACGATGTCGTCGGTCCACCTTGTAGGTGGACGTCCCACGCTGCGTTTTCCGGAACCTTGCTGCCCCATCAGCCGTCAGTTCTGCAAATTATGTTCCCTGCCCATTTTGCCACTTCAGCTTGCTAATCCGTCGGGCTACGTCAATGACTTTAGTTCGTTTACGGATCTCCTCATTTCTGATTTGATCTCGTAAAGAAACACCAAGCATAGCCTTTTCCATAGCACGCTGTGCAACTTTGAGCTTCTTTATAAGTTACTATATTAGTATGGAAAATGGATTTAGGATCATGACCACCCACAAGGACCGATGGCCTCATAAAGGTAGCAGGAAGGCGCTGGATGCAGGCCGCTACCAATCGGGCGATGTGGAAATCACTGGGGGAGGCCTATGTTCAGCAGTGGACGTCCTGTGGCTAAAATGATGATGATGTCAATTTTTAAATACCTAGTTATTTAATTTTTAGCGTTAAGAATCGCATCCAAACTAATTTGAAAATTACAAATAGGTACCTTGAAAAATCGAACAGACGGGAATTGAACCCAAGTTATTTATAATGTCCATTTTTAACCTAACCTAATCTAACTATCTCTGTAATGGAATCTAAGAATCTGAATTACAAGCACTTCTAATTCTTGTATCACCATGAAACTTGGCAATTATATGTAGATTAGATGACAATACAATATTATGGTACGATAGAGCTGGTCTGGTGATGGAGTCGGAAGGTGGCCATAGGAACTGCTAAACGAAACGGCGGGGTGACTGTCCTTGAAATACATACTGATAAAAGATAACAATATAGAACTTTCTACGCGTCCCATTTGACGACAAACTTACGTAACCTCGGTAACTTTAATCTATCCTTGTTATTAAAGATAAAAAATAACGTGATGCGTTATCTGCAGTCTGTGCCAATAAAAACTGGTAATTTAACCAACAAAATAACATTGACAAACTGTCTACCAGGGATGTTGATGGATATTCGTAACCGTAACCGAATGGTGCATAATATTTTCTTAAAGGTTTTAAACCTTTGTTTGTCACCTGTCATCCGCTTTGCAATGGAGGCAAGTCGAACCATAATTTCGAACTCCTCCTATGTTCTTCTGATTAATTTCTTTGCGGGTCCAATGACGGTTTAACTTTCCCCCGGGACAAACTTGACCTTCATTGGTTGGGTTTTTGTGGCGGTCAAGCTGTAGATCCTGGCTACACAGGAGTTGCAGTGGTGGGAACGAAAGGTGGGAATAGTCCCGTAAACGTAGCCGAAATAAAAAAATATCCAAAACCGTAACCGATTCAAAAGTTTCGGATGTAGGCTGTTCAAATCGTTTTTTGTATAGCATTATAATGTAAAGGTATAACAGCCTGATTTATATTTATAATGCGATCTGGGATCAATTTATTTTTTTTACTCTTCAGCTTTATAATATTAGTAAAAGTTAGTATAGATGCCAAGTAAGAATGGCCAATTGGTGACCCAATTGCATTAACAAAATTTCAAGTCTCCCAGTGACTTGGCCCACTTTTAGCTTGGTCTACGGGCCAAGTCGCTGGTTTGAATTTTAAAATAGCTTTTCCTCATGTGACTGAGCCTCACCTTCAATGTTTTTATTAATAAATCAAACACCAAATCAACAAAAATCTACTCTAGAATCTTAGAGGGCCCAATCAGTCAATGGAAGAAAAATTATTTAAAAAAAAAATTCAAACCAGCAACTTGGCCTGTGGACCAAGCTAAAAGTGGGCCAAGTTACTGGAAGACTCATGCCCGTTTTCACCATCAATCCCTAATTTTTAAGTGACCCCTATGGTAACACATGATAAGATTTTTTTTACCATAGGGGTCATTTAAAAATTAGGGATTGATGGTGAAAACGGGCATCAAAATTTCAAATCTCCATTGTCCATTGGCAGGTATAATAATATTATACCTACTCAGTTATCACCTACCTACCTCAACACAAAAACAGGTGTACTTACTGAAGTACTTACCCAAAATTTAGGTGAAGAACCAATTGTATCAGTCAAATAGATAAAAAAGATAAGCCTAACATTTTTGTAACTGACCGGCAAATAAATATGAATAAGCAAAGAAAATATAAAATTTCACGCCCGTATTCACAAAGGATGTTTGCTTAAGTGAAGCAGCAAATTGAACGCACAGCGTTGAATAGAGCTTTTTTTTTTAATCCACAACGAGAAAGCTCTTGGCTTGTGTATCTCACCTGATGGTAAGTGATGATCAGGCCGAAGGTGGAAGCGAGATTCACCCGGAATCCTCAACCACAGAGGAACTGGATATCTTACCTATAAATGCTCTATGATTGGTTCATATGTCACCCTATGCGTCCACGCGCACTGTGAGAACTCATAGTGATGTTTGTGAATACGGGCGTCAGTCTTCCAGCTACTTGGCCCACTTTTAGCATGGTCCAAGGGCCAAGTCACCGTATTGATTTGATTTTTAAACTACTTGAGTTGCACCATCTTTAACTTTAACCGTAAGATAACTTTCATCATCATCTCAGCCATAGATAGATGAAATTTTTAAATCAGGACGCGCGCGTTATTGTTTTTGTATGACTGACAAAATTTAAGCCGTGGGCAAAAGGTGGCAAAAGCTAGTAACTTGATATTGGGTAGTCGGGTAAAAATACTATAATAATAAAAACACCTAAATGTACTATTAAGGAAGCAATAAACTTATTGAGTATTGAGTATTGAAATAGTGTGAATTTTCAATATTAACTTTAAGTAGGGAAGGGATTCCCTAGCGTTGTGATTTCAATTTCCTGCTACATTTTAAAAGGAAATGCGAACGTCATATCAAGCTGGGACTGTACATATTATTACGGAAATAGTAAGCTGGGATTATAGTGCCTTGTATGTATTATAATACGTACTATTTTTGCCACAAAAATGCATAGCTTCAAGTGCTTATCGTTAGTCATGGAATAACCAATGCTATTGTATTGTAAACTTGAGGAAATACATAATATTGTTATCAGTATCATCAGAATTGATAAAAGTAATAAGTTACTTCAGTACTCAGTATTTGGATGAGGAAAATTTGAACTAAAATGTTAGGAAAAAGTTTTACCCTGGGTTGCACCATCTTACATATTTTTTTTAAAAGTCCAAAATCTGTCAAACTATAAAAAAACCTATTAAAGTTATAGTTAGCAGCGTGGGACGTCAAGTAAAGGTAGCAGGAAGGCGCTGGATGCAGGCCGCTCCCAACCGGGCAACATGGAAAGCATTGGGGGAGGCCTATGTTCAGCAGTGGACGTCCTGTAGCTGAAATGATGATGATGATGAAAATTTTACGATAAATTACATAGCGCATCAACGTCATCATTTCAGCCATAGGACGACCACTGCTGAACATAGGCCTCCCCCAATATTATAAAGGTAGCAGGAAGGCGCTGGACGCAGGCCGCTACCAACCGGGCAACATGGAAAGCATTGGGGGGGCTTATGTTCAGCAGTGGACTTTTAGCTGAAAAGAAAGTGAACTCACCATATTGTCTCCATTGGTCACGTCCACCGATTCCTTCCTCGTCTTCAGGACCAGGCACTGCCTTTTCAGGAGGTGGACGTCATCATTCAGGACTGCCAAGTGGATCGGTCTGCAAAAAAACAGATCTTGAAGAGGGTTTCCTTTTGCCCGTATTCACAAAAAATAGTATGAGGTCTCACAATGCGCGTGGACGCACAGGGTAACACAAGAAACCAATAACAGTGGCGCTAACTGGAGCGCAAATACGGTCATTATTTGACTAGTACCACAGAATAATAATAAGTACTCTAGTACGAACAACTGCTTTGCAATGGAGGGAAGTCGAAACTTATCTTCGAACTCCTCCTATGTTCTTCTGATTAATTTCGTTGCGGGTCCAATGACAGTTTAACTTTCCCCCGGGACAAACTTGACCTTCACTGGTTGGGTTATTGGCGATCAAGCTGTAGATCCTGGCTACACAGGAGTTGCAGCGGTGGGAACGAGAGGTGGGAATTGTCCCGCCAGGTTGAAGCAGATTAACGTGCTATCTTTTTTTTTATCCACAACGCGGAAGCTCTTGGTCTGTATCTCACCTGATGGTAAGTGATGATCAGGCTGAAGGTGATCTTACTGACTGACGATCAATGGGAATGGGATATTATACCACCACACTTTCTCACCACTGCAACTCCTGTATAGCCAGGATCTACAGCTTGGCCTCCAATGAAATGAGTAGTCCGGGACTCCCGGGGGATAGCTGATTGTCTTGGAAGCTTGGAACCCTCCACAAATTTAATCAGATCACTTAATCAGTGGCAGATATAAACAATGACTAATGCAAATTTCATCAAAGTCGTGACAGTTTTATAATATTTTATGATTCAGTCACTTTTGCCGCCTCACGTTTTCTGTGGAATCGTGAATGGGATGACGTCACAAAACTTATTATCATAGCACCGATAAGTTTATAGCGTCAATGTCAAAGGTTTTATTCAGTACTTGGGCCGTTTCCAGGGCGCTTATACCCGTCCCAAATATAGCTTGCCCTATCACCACTTCGGGACAACATATGGGCTGGTAGAAGAAGAAGAAATAATAGAGCTACACTGGTCATCAAAAAAATCGACCCTCCTGCGACAAGCACTTTCAAACGTATGCATCCCCACTTCCCACCAATATTACTATACTATATTACCATTTAAAAGCCTTGTTCTAAACTTCATTTCATTAAAAGAAAGGTTTTTACCCCGAAAATGTGTCTGTAGTAGAATCCAGAGTCACTTCTTCAAAAAATAGGTAGTTACGCTTGAGCCAACTTTTATGGCTATAAAACTGTTAAGTTGGGATTAATCGCTATCCATCTGTTAAAGAGACCACGTGAGATCATTATTTGGTTTTATAACCATAAAAATTGGTCTAATTGATCCCAGAGGTGAGCCCAAAGTGAGGTCTTTTTTCAAGTTTTTCAAGTCACATTTATTGTATATTTTATGTTAATCGTTTATTAGGAAATTAAATGTGTTTTTCTTTAAGGATATGTATTGGGCTTTCAAATAACACTAATATTGTTGGGGCACCATGAATACCATGATTGTGTCAGTAGAAACGAGTCTTCCTATAAAAACGTAGGTGGGCCGATTTTTGTGATGACCAGTGTATTAAAGAATATTAATGTAGTGCATCATCAGGTCATTTAGTCTCCACTGCAGGAGCAGGACCCTCTTTTTCTGCCGCCTCTGTGGTCGTGGTATACCCACCTGCTTCAGACGCAGAGATTCCGAGTTTGATTCCCATTGGAGGCAGATTTTTCTGTTCGGTTTGGTTGGTGGTAGGGCTTGTTCTAAGTCCGCCTGGCTAGCTATCACCATCTTGCCTAAGTCTGTCGCCATAACAACTATGTTAACAGCATTGTTATGTTCCGACAGACGCGGTAAAAAAGCCAGTTCCTCTGTGGTTGAGGATACCGGGTGACGCTCGCTTCCACCTTCGGCTTGATCATCACTTACCATCAGGTGAGATACAAGCCAAGAACTTCCTCGTTGTGGATTAAAAAAAACCAGCAAATGACACTCCCCACGCTGGCCAGACGGGTTGGGGAGGCCTGATATTAGCATATTTGTCTTTAAGGCCTCAGCTTAGACGGTTAGCGTACCATCCCTAAATTGTTGACATTCCACCAGCTCACACTAAGCGTTTCGATAACTCTTTTATAATGCGAACAGCTAGGGACTGGTATTCGCTGCCTGCTGCTGTATTTCCTGAACACTATAATCCGGGCGTTTTCAAGGCGAGAGCGAAAGCACTTACAGGGCAGATATGTACCATCCTAGACTGCATCTCACTTAACACCAGGTGCGATTGCGGTCAAATACCTGCCTTGTTTATATGCATAAAATAACTAAATTAATAGTTTTAAAACTAAAAACACGCTTTCAAATTACGCTCGAAAAGACAAATCCAATGAGCCCAAACTCGATGCGATTCCGCCGTTTCGTTCAGGAGTTCCTATGGCCACCTTCCAGTGCCATCATCAGACCAGCTCGATGGTACCATAATATTTTATTGTCATCTAATCTACATATAATTGTCAAGTTTCATGATGATACAGGAATTAGAAGTGCGTGTAATTCAGATTCTAAGATTCCATTACATAGTTACATACACGACTGTCAACGACCTAATAAAATTGTATTAAAAAGCTCCGGGATTAATAGATCCGGGTGTTACTGAGTTGACGCAAGTGTTGAATTTTCTTTATTTACGAAGAGCTAATAAGACTCAATGCATTAAAAATGTAGGTGTTTTCTAACCGGTTGCCACGGGTAGTCGGGAATGTCCCTTCAGCTTATCTGACACTTGACACCACGTGAATGTCGAGGGAATAACCTCGCAAAAAATGCATTTCTTTCTTGCACATCTATCACTTAGGTACCTATACCTACCTACGACCTACAGTCAGCGTCAAATAGTTCGCGACACCCAAAGTAGCCAAAAAGTTCGCTACACGTCTTTGTTACAATTGAAATAAGGTTGTGTTGTCAACTTTTAGGCCACTTTCGGTGTCACGAACTACACTTGGCATCAAATAAATCGCACCTTCCGCGACACGAACTTTAAAGATTTTCTTCTAACACAATCATGGTGCCCTAACAATTTTGTAAGCCCAATAAATTAACTTATAGAAAAACAAATTTAATTTTTTTATAAAGAATTAACTGTTACTATAAATGTGACTTGAAAAAAGGCTTCACTTGGGGCTCACCTCTGGGAACAAGTAGACCAATTATTTTTCTGGTTATAAAACCAAATAATGATATCACGTGTCCTCAGATGGATAACGATTAATCCCAATTCAATAGTTTTATAGCCAAAAAGTTGGCTCAAGCGTAACTACCTATTTTTTGAAGAAGTGACTCTAGATCCTTCTAAAGACACATTTTTGGGGTAAAAACCTTTCCTTTAATGAAATGAAGTTTAGAACTAGGCTTTTAAATGGTGCCAATATTGGTGGGAAGTGGGGATGCACAGGTACGTTTGGAAGTGCTTGTCGCGAGAGTTGCGATTTATTTGATGTCGAGTGTATATATGACGCTGACTGTACCTAACTTTTGCACGTGTCGGTAAGGGAAAACCCCCTATAAATGCAGTTGAATTTGTTCATTGTTTACTAAGTTAAGTATTTGATAAACGTGAGGAGGTAAGTTGAGTACATGATAACGTATAGGAAAATCTAAAATGGATTTTCCACTAGCTATTGCCCGCGGCTCCGCTCGCGTTAATTGCGGTCTGACAGAGAAAATATGGAAGAGGGAAGAAAAACGGGCTGGAAGACGTAGCGTGGGCAGGCCTCCTACTAGGTGGACCGACGATCTGGTCTGGTAAAGGTCGCCGGAAGAGCCTGGATGCGGGCAGCGCAGGCCGTTCATTGTGGAAAATATTGGGGGAGGCCTTTGTCCAGCACTGGACGTCATTTGGCTGTAACGAACGAAGGAACAGAAAATATGGCGAACTTATTTCTAAAAACTATCCTATTTTGACTTGGATCTCAAACTATCTTTATAGCAAAAATACCTACTGCACCCGTATTCACAAACGATGCTTGCCTAAGTGAAGCAGCAAATCGAACGCGTTGAATAGAGCTCTGTGATTGGTTCGTGTGTCACCCTGTGCGTCCACGCGCACTGTGAGACCTCATAGTAATGTTTGTGAATACGGGCGTTAGAATGCTATGCATGTTATTGATTTACAGCAGTCTGTTTTCAAATCTTTTATGTAATGAATTAGGTATATGTGTTACGGTTAATGTGATAAATTAATCACATTTAACAGTGATTATTTAATAATTCAACCTTAGTACCTACTAACAAATTTCATAAAAGATAACAACATCTTGTGTACGTGTTCGTGTACAGCCAAACTTTTGAACGTTTTGATATCATATATTAATATAATTTGGCATAATGAGTTTGGAATGTTTCTTGCATACTATTACTTTTCTATGATGCCTATAACATAATGTTTTGATTTAAAGTGAAAAATAGGTTAATGTGCGGCGGGGGGGGCCCTTGGGCCACCCCTAAGCCGCCTATTTAGTTTTATACACACATAAATGACCTCATATTAATCACATTAACCAAATCATGCGATAATTTTATTCATAATAACCGGCGATTATTCATAATTTTCACATTTATCACTTTGACCGTAACATATGTATTTGTTTACTGACTGATAACCAAACAGATGCATGTTGAACATAACAATAACACATAATTATTTATCTCTGATATTCCTAAAACAATAATGATATTAAATTACATGCATTAAGATGCACAAATGTGTGTATTTACAAGTTCTTAATTATTATCATTTGTGTTTCAAACTGCGGAATATAATAATGTAGGTACAGTCAGCCTCCAATAGTTCGTGATCGTGACACCCAAAGTGGCCAAAAACTTGACAGCACTGGCCCCGATGCAGTATCACGGGACTATTCCCACCTCTCGTTCCCACCGCTGCAACTCCTGTGTAGCCAGGATCTACAGCTTGACCGCCAATAAAAACCCAACCAGCGATGCAGTAGCGATTCTGTCGCGCGTTCACATCGATACAGTCGCAAGTCGCAATGCGGTCGCTAGCTGTGTGCTCTCGCCCACATAACGTCGGCGTCGTCGAACAACGACGTATCTGCAAAATGTTAAGTTTCCAGGAGAGCGTTTTGAAGTTTTGGAACCGGTTTTTTGTGTCTACAAAAAAATCTACTTGGCTGATCGGTTTCAAATTTGGGGATGTTATAAACATAAAGATGTTATTTTATATAAACTATGTACCCATCTCCAAAAATACTTAGTTTTTTGTAAAAATCACATGCGTCATTGTTCTATGGACAATTTGAGGATGTATGTGAAAAACCGTCGTTGTTCTGCGAATTTTTTTAATCAAATATATGACGTATGTCACTTTTAGTCATTATTCTACGGAACTTCTGCCATGAGTACCCGTCGGATGATGAAGAAAGTTGGAGGAAATAAATAAAAAACATTGTTTATTAGGTTTCATTATTAATTAATTTATAAATAAAGACAATAGGTATCAAAGAAAATTAACAAAAATCAAGGATAGATAAACCACATCCATATACTGCGGCAGGTTATGCAGAAGATCGAAGAGTATAACTTGCCACTATGCTTGGAGTTCGTGGACTATGAGAAGGCCTTCGATTTGATCGAGATTTGGGCAGTGCTGCAATAAAAGAAACACATTAAAATCAAATTATTGTAGTCTCAATTTTTTATTTTATTTTTTAAGCAATTTAAAAATAGAACAAAGACGCAATTGGAATACCCGTCCCTAGTACAAAGTCGGTTGTGTATATCCGACGTCAAAATTACCAAACTTTACCGAAGTACAACGATGGTTCTGATCAAACGTCAAACAAAAGTCCTTAGAACAATGTAAGTTCAATACATCCGCCACCAAAAACAATTATTTTGTACCAAACATTCATAATGTTTATACTCATCAATCTACCTACAAATACCATAAAATAAAAACAAAAGGACACTGTTTCTTTTATTTTCGAACTTCCTAGTACAACGACGGGTGTGTACGTACGTCACAGTTTTTTTTTCTCTGACTTCCCTAATAAAGAGATGGTTGTGACTTTCAGTCATCAAAACGATAAAGTGTCCAAACTTATAGATATAAAGACGAAATTCTAGATACATTCAATATCAATACGAATACAAATGTATAAGCTATTCCAACAAACGATGTGCAGTCTTCCGAAGTACAATGACGCTTGCACAAACACGTCTCTGTACTGCGTTAGAATAATCACATCCGTCGGTGTTCGATTCTGTATCTTCGATATTATTACGAATTTTGAAAAAATAAAAAATTAGTTTATAAAGGGGCTATTTTAGAGTAGTTTAATGCAAAAAAAACAGATTTTGACGGTTGCGATCATACGACGTTGTTCGACGACGCCGACGATAAACGCGCTTTTGTCGCGATGCAAACGCAATACTGTCGCGTTTCTGTCGCGATGAAAACAATGGAGGGAAGTCGAACCTTAATTTCGAACTCCTCCTATGTTCTTCTGATTAATTTCGTTGCGGGTCCAAAGACAGTTTAACTTTCCCCCGGGACAAACTTGACCTTCATTGGTTGGGTTTTTGTGGGGGTCAAGCTGTAGATCCTGGCTACACAGGAGTTGCAGTGGTGGGAACGAGAGGTGGGATGGGAATAGTGCCGTGTCGCGATGAAAAAGCGATCCAGTAACGCTCACTCCGTTCTCTCCCCGATGTCGTCCGATACGGTCGCGCGTTTGCATCGATACAGTCGCGCTGCTGTAGCGTTAGTAGCGCGTTGGCATCGCTTCTGTAGTACATTGCAAATGCTACTAAGGCCGCATACAGAAAGAAACCTGGAAACTTATATAGCGCTTGTCAGCGCTGGTCCGTTTGTTCACAAAGGGAGCAGGTTGAATGGCATGGCGCTGACAATAAACATTTATGACTATGACTATGATTATAAGTTTCCAGCTTTCTTTCTGTATGCGGCCTAACGCGCGTTAGAAGCGATGGGGGCTAGGGCCCTAACTTATTCTAATTGTGACAAAGACGTGTTGGAAACTTTTTGGCTACTTTGGGTGTCACGAACTAGGTATTTGCTGACTGCACCTACTGGATATTGCAGCAGTAAAATCTTCTTTAGTTGGTTATTGTGTGTTTATACCAGGATACATTAATACCATAAGTATAAAAAAAATATCTTTGTTTTACTGGTATAAAAAGTATACTGTATACAATGTTGGGCAAAAATTAAAAATACTTTTTTAACTACAGATCTTTTTTAAATACAGTTAAGTAACTGTTATACTGGGATAAAAAGTATCCAATGATAGGCGCTGTCTTCTAACTTTGTAACGCTTAAATAATTTTATCATATTACAAAAATGGCAAGGTCACGGTCAACATTCAATTTCAAATGGTCAAAAAATTTTATGATGAAAACTAAATTTTTAATAACTTGAAAAGATCAAATTAATTAAGGTGGGAATCGAACAAAGGACCTTTCCCTTGCAGGCCACTGCTCACTTCTGAGCTACTTAGATACGGGGTAAAACCAATTAGGCAATTTGATTTTTAAAGTTATTAAAAATCATGTGGCATTTCAACTTTAAATAAAAATTGACTAAAACAAAAAATAACTTACAAATTATCATCATCATCCGGCGTCAAGCAATATTTCCAATCCATGTACGCTTGATACCAAAGCAGTTTTCTCCGGTCCTCTGGAGACGATACCAGCTTCAGGATCTCCGGTGTAGCAACGTGAAAGTCATCCTCGATCTTGCACGGAATCACAAGCTCCGTCCCATCGAGCATCGTCAACCGAGAATAAAACTTTTCTACGGGTCCAGTGACACGATCTACTAATGCTAATGGTTCTTCCATTAATCCAGGTATAGTGTCCACGGATAAATTTCCGATACTGTCTCTCGAGTCTTCGTTGAATAACTGTTCAGAATGTTCGCTTTTCAAAAATAACTGGGAACTGTCCGAACTAGTGTCAAGTTTTTCAGATTTCACCGACACAATTTCTTCCTTCGGCAGCATATGGAAATTCTCCGGATGTATTACAACTCTGGAAATTTTATCGGGTGGGTCCATATCTGTGACTACATACGGTGCTGCTTGCCGCTTCATTCGTCTTGGCGTTTTTTTTATCGGATCAATACCGGACATCATCGTTTGCGTTTCTGTGTCTATCATGATTTTTACACGGGACAGGTCACTCTGACACGACTGGCTCGTAGCGCTTAAATTTTTTATCGAGTCCATGCAAGAATTCACCGTTTGTGTCTCAACGTCTATAGTTATTTTAGTTTGGGAACTATCACTTTGACGCTGGCCTGCAGCGTTCTTGGGAACGGTCAACAACGCGAGAATCGCACGTATTTTGAACTCTTGACTGATCACTGAACACAATGATGATATCACTATTTCGTAATTGTCTTGTCCGATTATACTTGCTATGTGCTCAGAGGTTTTCTCTGACACGACCTCCCCCGAGCGAGTATACCGAGCGACTGTCATACTTTTCATAGTATTTAAGTTCAATCTATTAAAAACAGTCACTTTTTCTTGGTCTAAGTGCAAAAAATCCCCGAATCTGGACTGGTATATAATATCCTCCTTGTACAATGGTTTTACGCTTTTAAAAGTCTTCGATTTCAAAACTGTGATGGTGTTCTTCTTTAAAATTATATTCGGCAGAGACTTCATCACGATCTGGGCATCCCCTTTAGTGCTAGACATGTTTAGGTTTTAACTCAATAAACCACAGTATTTTCGATACAGGGAATTCACAGTTCACATAACCGATTTGATCACTATAACTGCGTAATCGCACAATGTACACAATCAAACGCAATTTCACGTGCGTAGCCACTGAGTTCTGATACAAAATAGATTAATAAATGAATGCAAGGTATTTTTTTGAATCACTACGTTCGGGGTAACCCCCTTGATACGAGCCAAAAGTACCAAACGAACGTCGCACGCTCGCTCGCTCATCTCAATTTGACGTTTCAAAAAGATCGTATACATTAGACGACGTCAACCATGGAAGTACCATGGACGTCAACATTATGCAGTATTGGACAATAAATATAAAGAAAATGTTTTTCTTCTTGATCACGGAGAGTAGAGCTAAATAATTTAACTGTACAATATCTTCAAAAATATGTTATACCAATGATAGGTACTTATTTAGTATTTAATTTTTTTTATTATTAATATTTTATTTCGAAAATTTTATTAAATAGACAAACTAACTAAAATAATAGGCCTTTTCAGTTCTTAGTGTATTTTTTTTGCTTATTCTTTAAAATGTATGTGCATTTTTCAGATGACTTATAATCTAAAATCGGTTAAGTACTTAATTACTTCTTTGAACGAAAAGACACTCATAAAACATTACCCTCTTTTCTGCAGTCAACCAATAAATCGGTTGATGTAAAGGAGCTTTATGATGTACGTTCCATTTTACATTTTAAAGAGTTGACCTTGGCACAGATATTGGACAGCAATTGAAATCTTTAAAATAAAGCCAATATTATTATATTTCTATGTGAACAATTTTTTTTAATTTAATATGCCTCTGATTTATATCAGCCTTGCTACTTCTTAAAATCGGAAAATATATTTTAATACTTTTTTTATATATTCAAGAACCGTATAACGAAACGTTGTATCAAGGTTCGTTCAAATACTGAATTATAACCTTTTTTTTAATACTGAATAAACATTTTATATGAATTAAATTTGCAAGCATATTTCGCTTAATTTATGTATTTTTCTAACACATTCATTTAGTTATCCTCCTACCGCTAGCTTTTCATATAATTATTAATATTAAAAGTCGTCTATCTTTATAAGGTTTTTGAACGTATTTTTACCCGCGTTGGGAAAATAAAAACTTTTTCGCGCTTTTTTGCAGCATAGTTAATTGAATTTGAAATAGTGCCTTAATGTATTAAGTAGGTAAATTAATTATCAAGACTAATTTATTAATAATAATATTAACTTATAAATATCTCATTTCATAGCAATGTACCTAATTGACAAATTGGACAAAAAAGTATTGAAGAGATAAAGCTTATCTTTCACGTTCTTAAAATAATTTGTTTAATTTACATTATGTTTACCATTCTTTACTTACATAGTTATTATGTAGGATGGAGAACCTACCTATTGCCATAATAATATTGCTAAATGTAGGTATTTTAAAACCCAACGCAGTTATATCTACTTACTTGGTTTGATGGATTTTGATAGCGTACTGTCTCAAAAAGTACCTATTTCTAACAAAAAAAAAACCTGTGTGCGTAAAACAAATAATAACTTGCTATTTAATACTTACAACAAATAAGTATCTACGTAAAATAAAGGTAAGTTTTTAACGATGGCAGCACCCAATGAAGGGGATTCCCCGTAAAACGGTTTCGCGATGGCTGACTTTTTTAAATATTTTTTTTTTNGGTGTACATGTATGCCCTAACCGCATGCGAATGAGAATAGAGGTGGCAGTCTTATCGAGCGTCGTTCTGAAAAACCAAGGTTTAACCGGGATATTGGGCTGTATACTCTTATAATGCTTCCCTTTAACCAGGTCACTACTATTCCATTCACTTTCCCAAGTTTTACGGAGATAGGATTTAGGAAGAGTAGCTAAATCATGGGAGAAGTTTTTATATGGGAATATATCTCCACACTGCACTGCTTCATTTGCCATTTTATCTGCTATTTCGTTACCGGGAATATTACTGTGAGAGGGGATCCAGGCAAAAATTACCTGGAAACCATTCAGTTGGCATTTGTGAAGTAAAATTCTACTATCAATAATTACTGGGAAATTAATATTCGCTTTAAGAGGGAATTTAGCCAAAGCTTGTAATGCACTTTTTGAGTCTGAAAAAATTATGGACTTTTTAAGTTTCATGAGTAATATATATTCTAACGATTTGAATAAACCAAAGCATTCTCCCGTAAATACTGACGTCTCAGGGGGGAACATCTTTTTTTGATTTATTTTGTACTGATAATGAAAGACACCCACGCCCACGTTACCATCAAGTGAATGTTTCGATGCGTCACAATAAATATGGTGCCAATCTTGCCAGCCATTAGATTCTAAAACAAGGTTAAAAGAAGAGAAAGCAGAACTACCATATTTTGGAATATCCAGGTCGAAATAAATGTCAGGAGAGAGAATTAGAGATTCATAATTGGAGCAGAACACAGGTAAGTATGCAGATCTATGACTAGGAGCTTGTAAATAAATATATTTACGAAAACTTATGACAAGGCATGGTGGAGTTTTATGAGTCCAATAAGGTACAGAGTCTACATATTCCGACAAATCTTGTAACTTAGAATAGAGAGGATGATTAAGAAATTGAAATGCACGAAATAGATATTTATCACTTAAGAATTGTCTTCGAAGACTAAGGGGAGGCTCAACACATTCAATTTGGACCGCATTATTAGGACTAGACCGCATTGCACCCGTGACAATACGAAGGGCTTTAGATTGAACAGTGTCAAGTTTGCGCAAACCCACAATGCTACAAGGTTCCAAAAAAAAAGACCCATAATCTAAAACACTTCGAATAATAGCGTTATACACAAGTTTCATACTATAAGGATGAGCACCCCACCATACTCCCGATAAGCATCTTAAGATATTCAAAAGCTTTTCGCACCTAGCTAGTATATAGTACAAATGAGGTAAACCGGTTAACTTTGAATCCAGGATTAGACCTAGAAACTTAGCCTCATTATGAACAGGAATAACCAAATTATCATAATGTACAGAAATAGGCGGTGGACATCGCATCCTGGAGAATAGGACTATTGAGCTCTTATTTACTGACAGATTTAAGCCATTTTTATCTAACCACGACTTTAAGACGTTTAGAGTGGTAGACAGAGACTCACACAAATTTTGAATATTTGAACCAGAACTATACATAACAAGATCGTCTGCATATTGTAAAATATTAACTTTGTTGTGTAAAGATGATTCTAAGTCATAAGAGTAAATGTTAAATAATAAAGGACTTAAAACTGATCCTTGAGGCAAGCCTCGCCAGATTGATCTGGTTCTAGTCGATTCGCCACTTGAAACATTAATAAATCGCTCAGATAGTATGTTCATAATGAAATTTACTAATATTAGAGGAACATTAAGCAAAATAAGTTTATCTTTAAGAATAGGTAATAACACATTATCATAAGCTGCTGTTATGTCTAAAAAGGCTGCAAGTAGAGATTTATTCTTAGAAAATGCTAAGCGGATATCACAAGTGAAAATTCCCAAACTGTCAGAGGTACTCCTGCCTTTTCTGAACCCATACTGAGTATCGCTTAATAATCCTTTGCTTTCAATGAACCATTCTAGCCTATTTTTAATCAAGTGCTCTGCTACTTTAATAAGAACTGATGAGAGAGCAATAGGTCTATATGAGGCGGCATCATCTGAGGGTTTATTAGGCTTCAGGATTGGAATAATGTCCTGAGACTTCCAGGATGGAGGGACAAAGCCATTGATCATAATGGAATTAATAAGGGTTAAGTAGTATACCAGACTAGTATCACTTAAATGAGAGAGAAAAGAATACGGAATACCATCACAACCGGGTGACGAATCTTTTACGGATGAAAGAACACCTTTTAGTTCGGCAAGATCGAATGGGGCTGAAAGACCAGTTCTAAAAGTTGAGGGTGAGGTAACAGGCACTATGTTATATAAAGGTACTGAAGGAGGGGCCAACTTATCTAAGAAGTTTTCTGCTACCTGTTCTGGGAGATGAGGAGAAGTGGAATTTTTGAAAACAGATCTGAATCTTCTTATATTTGCCCATACTATAGAAGGAGGAGTATTAGGAGAGATGGAAGAACAGAAACTTCTCCAACCTTCCCACTTTTTACTTTTTAACAGTTTACGTGTACTGGTTATGGCTTCAGATAACAAGTTATAATTCTCATCTGTGGTGTTTTCACTATATCTCTTCTCAGCCTCTTTTCTTTTTTTAATGGCAGCTGTGCAATCACTATCCCACCATGGGGGAGAAGGGATTTTACTGTTGTGATGGCCTTTCACTGGAAACACCTCCTCTGCTGTCTCCAACAGAAGGGTGGCCAGTGCCTCAGCACACATCGGCTGGTTCCTCTCCCCTACTACAGGGAGGGAAGCAATGCTTCGCTCAACTTTCTCTTTATATAATTGCCAGTTGACATTGCCTAATTTAAATTTCATGCGAGGTGGGCTCCTAAAAATAGATTTGTTGGGTACAGATGGAAATGTTATGAATATGGGGAAATGATCACTACCATAAGAAGAAGTAAGTGTAGTCCAAGTCAAACATGATGCTAAACTAGGTGAACATATAGAAATATCTGGGGCACTCACACCCTCATGAGGTGGAGTTCTACGAGTTGGGAGGCCAGAGTTAAGAATACATAAATTTTCGGAATCAATTAAATCTAAAATTCTACTGCCATAATGATTAGAATTAGAACTCCCCCATGCCTGGTGCTGGGCATTAAAATCACCAAGTATAATTATGGGTTTAGGAAAACTATGAATTAAATTAACTACTTCATCATAAATTAAGGATGATGGGTGAGGGATATATATAGATACATAAGTAATATTATTTATACTAACAGCTACAATAGAAAAATCAGCATTATGATGAGGAATTTGGATAACAGAAAAAGAAAGAGAGTCATGGATGAGCAGTGCTACACCACCATAATTATCAGCTCTGTCTTCTCTAACTGTAGAGAATCCAGAGACTTTAAATAAGGAGTCCGGCCGAAGCCACGTCTCCTGAAGAGCAAGTATAGAAGATTTAAACTTATTAATTAAAAACAGTAAATCGCTTTTCTTGTTAGTAATACTACGGCAGTTCCACTGTATTATGGACAACTGGTCCATTATTACAGTCAATTACTTCTGAGGTATTCTTATTAGAAGGGGCAACGT